ATGTTTTCTATTTTCTAGAAGCTATAATATTAAATAATTAACCTCAATTTATTATTTTTGTTCCATTTCACACCTTCCTTTGAGTATTTAAGGACTAACACATATACAATACCTCTTAGAACAAGTCTAATGAAAGAAAACCAAATGGCACGGAGGATAGGCAACAGGAACAGGCAGAATTTCAGTACCAAACAAAAAGATGACTTGGGTACAAGGATAAATATCAAAGAAGGGAAATACCTCAAACACAAACCTTTAAATAATAATGTCTGCAGAAAAACAATACTCTTTTACGATTATAGGAGTCAATAAAATGAGTTTGATAAAGAGTAAAATTGCATAACACCAAAAGAAAAATATATTGAGAAGAGCTACTGATTATTTAAATTGTCAGCATTGGAGGGTGAAGAGAACCCTGATATGCTCTTAGTTGGGAGGCTGTACTAGCACAACTTTTCCAGAGAATATAAATTGTTGGGGCGGTTTTTGTTTGTTTGTTTGGTTGGTTGTTTTTTTAAAAATATATTTTATTGATTTTTTACAGAGAGGAGGAGAGAGGGACAGAGAGCTAGAAACATCGATGAGAGAGAAACATCGACCAGCTGCCTCTTGCACACCCCCTACTGAGGATGTGCCCGCAACCAATACACATGCCCTTGTCCGGAATCGAACCTGGGACCTTATAGTCCACAGACCGACGATCTACCACTGAACCAAACCGTGTTGGGGCGGTATTTAATTGAAAAACTTTAATGTATTTTTATTCATTTAGGTCTATGCATTCTACATGTCAGAATTAATACTAAGAAATTGTGCAACTTTTAGGCTATCTGAACGTAAAGCACAATATTGTATTTATTATTATTATTATCATTAATATTTTAAATCCTCACCTGAGGATATTTTTCCCAGAGAGAGTTGGAGGGAGAAGGGAAGACAAAGAGAAATATCAACTTAAGAGAAGCACATGGATTGGTTGCTTCCTGCATGCACCCTGACCAGGGCCGGGGCTAGGGAGGAGCCTGCAACCAAGGTATGTACCCTTGATGGGATCAAACCCAGGACCCTTTAATCTGCAAGTCAATGCTTTATTCAGCTAGGGCATAAAATATAATATTTAGAATGTGAATAAAATGAAACAATTTAGATGTGTAAGAAAAGAAAGTTAGTTCTTTTGTTACAATCAGTACGGAATACCATGCAGTTTATACAAATGATTTTGCATAAGAATGTAACAAAGAAATAAATAAATTCATTACATATTGTTCAGCAAATTGGTATAATAAAAGGACCAGTAAATCATTTAAAATGACAGCTCTGGAGTCGGAGGGCCTGTACTAAAACTTTGTGTTAAAACTTGCATCTCTGGGACTTACTATGTGAGATGTCAAACTGTTAAAACTTCTAATTTTTTTTTCTGTAAAGAGAAGAATAATTGTTCTTTTTCCTACCTCATTATATTTGGGGGATAGTAAAAAAGACAATGCATTCAATGTTCTTAACATTTTACCCACTGAATAAGTGTGCATGTTGATAGAATAGCATAAATACATCATTTGTAAAATATGTGCATGTTTATATTTTGACTCAGATATTGATATAATATACATGCAGTATTAACCTAAATTGTTTTCTATGTGTTGAAATGTGATTTTTGTTGCATTTGCTTATTTGTTTGCTTTGGTTTAAATGTGTTCCCTTAATGTTGTACATGGCAGACAGTATGAGTCAGGAGTTCGGCTGCAGTAACAAACTACCCTAACATGTGAGCTGATTCATAAAAGATAGGTTTATTTCTTGCTTCTGTTACAGGTCCCTTGGTGGTGTCAGCAGAGGATTCTGCTAATTATCCTCATTCAGAGACTAATCAGCCACCATCTCAAATACCCAAGTCCCAGGGCCAGATGAAAACGGAGATGCCAAATCTCTCACTGCCTCTTTAGCTTCTGCTCTGAAGTGAACACATCTTTTTTTTAATCAGAGCCAGACAGACTCAAGAAGAGAACCTGAATAATAATAATAATAAATGTATTTCTAAGTCAAGAAGAGTTTAAAACTAATGTGTAAGCTATCATTTCAGTTTTTTAGCAGAACATTGGTATGAAAATAAAGTTGTACATCATGCCTAACTCCCAGGAGTAGAAATTAGGATGAACACTGTACATCCATATTAACTACATGCGAGTCAATTAAATTAAATGAAAAGTTATTCCTAGGCAATAAGAAAGAGAAATCAAGGAATCAGAGGATACACAGATAACATAAGAGATAATGTAAATTATTCCCCTACCTTCAAGACATAAGGGTCACACTCAGTTATCACCAGCAGAAGCAATGCATCTAATTTAATTTCCAGTGGAAAATGCCTTCACCTGGCCCTTGAGGTGAACTCGACTGAGGAACTTGAGTACATTCTTCCAGGGTAGTTTATTTTTCTTGGCCCCAGCTGGTAAGCTGAAGAGGCTCTCTGGCTTGTGAACCAATGGGCCTTGTAATTGCTTTCCTCACTCATGTAACCACTGATGCAATTGTCACTCGTATATTACAAAACTAATCCTTCGCAAGTTTCATGTTGACTATTTGCTATGAAACATCCCATGCCAATGAGTTTGCAGATGTAGCTCTATGAAAAAGGAAGGTTCGCTGGTCATTGGTCTGAGTACTGGCTCCCATAAACCCTTGGTCTTCACTCTCAATATTCTTACGTTTTGTTATGGTTCCCTGAGAAATCACCTCACTCATCAATACCTCAATTTCTCCATAAGGAAGTTAGAAAAGCTTATTATTTATCTGTAAAGTATTTCAAAAGACTTACATGAATTATAAGAAGTAAAAGTGACCATAATTTAATCCATATATTCAAAACCTTTTTAATAAACTTTAGATATACTCTACTTCTTCAAATGGTAGCTAAATTTATTAGTTAATCTCCAGGAAGGTAAGAGACAAAGATGTGTTTATTGAAGTTTATTAAAAATGTATAGACACAGCCCATAAGAACCTTCTTGCAGTAGCCTTATATTAAAAATTTTAGGGACAAATAAAAAACAACTGGTAAATATATATATTTAGAGTAATTTTCTATTTGAGAGATATTGTGTATGGTTTTTTTTCCCATGATGTAAGTTATTTTAACAATAAATGAATGTGTGAGTAAATAAATAATAGTAGTCTAAAAGATACTAACTTTTCATTTTTGTTACTGTAAAAGCATGAGAAACTCAAGCACTACAATGGCAATACTGTATAAATACAGGCAAAACACGGGTTTTTGTCTAGGGTTATTTAGTGAGACAGGGTAAGTCAGAAATGCTTGTGAAATGAAAATATTCCTCTACGCATGTCTTTCTTATCTTCCTACTTATAATTATTAGGAAAAAATATCAGAGTATAGGAAAATACCTATAGCACAAATAATCTTGGTGACTTTGGGAGTTTTCTACATGAGGAAAACTATAAGTAATTTCAAAAGCAGATGATAACAAATATTGGGAAATTGTGAAGAAACTGGAACCTTCACCATTGCTGGTGGGAATGCAAAATGATGTAGCCACCTTAACGACAGTACCTCAAAAAGTTAAACCTAGATTACAATATGACTCAGAAATCCCACTTATGGATATAAACCCAGTAGATATTAAAGCACAATTCACACAAAAACTTATACATGAATGTTTATAGAACATTGCTCAAGATGGCCGAAAAGTAGAACCATTCCAAATGTCCACTAAAAGATAAACGGATAAATAAATGTGGCCTATCCATACAAATGGATATTATTCAGCCATAAAAAGGAATAAAGTTCATGCTACAACATGGATAAAGCTTGAAAACATCCTAAGTGGGGGAAATAAAGCCAGAAACAAAAAGGTCACATATTTTATAAATCCATTTATATGAAATACCCAGATTAGGAAAATCTATAGATTAATCATGTTTAGGAGTTGAAGGGAGAGGAGAATGGGCCATGACTGGTAAGAGGTACAGATATTCTTTTCATGGTGATGAAAAAGTTCTAGAATAATGGTGATAGTTGCATAATTCTAGATATTGGTGATAGTTGCATAATTCTGTTAATATACTAACAGCCATTAAGTTGCACACTTTAAAAAAGCAACTTTTATGGTATTTGAATTATATCTCAATAACAAATTTATTTTTCAAAAAGAAAACTGTACCATAAAATGAAATAGCTGATCAAACATTCAGGTAAAGGAAGTATTCCTTTTACTCTCTCACGAATAAAATTTACAATAACTTCCATTACCAGTTCCTCTGAAAGCATAGTTTATATTAATGTTTGTTGCCATTTTCAAGTTAGAGGTGAAATTGTATTTCTTATTTTGATAAATCTAAAAGAATGGAACCAACTCTCCATTAGATGAATGCTTCCTTCTTCAATTTGTACTGATCTGGTACCAAGAGTGTACCTGAGACCACATGCCTTCTCAGGCAACAAAAGCCCATTCAGAACTATCTGTGCATACAATGCTCTTTCAGAAGCCAACACTCTCCCCAATACACCAATGTTATTGAGTTTCAGAAATGGCAGTGAACTATTAGATGCTCTCATTCAGAAAATGTTTAGCAAATATTCAAACATTTTTATTTTCTTTTTAATGTATCATTGAACTGAGTTGAAATGAACTAAAATTGAGCAAACCTCAAAGTTACAGTGAATTGATAGCCTGTTAGTGAATGTGTATGTGGGACAAAAAGGAAAAGAGAGATGATATTTCTCCAGGTACTTTCATTCATAGAACTTATGTGTGGGTTTTTTTTTTTTCATTAAATTTATTGGGGTGACATTGGTTAATAAGATTATATACATTTCCAAAGTGTACAATTCTGATACATCATCTATAGGTTTTATTAGTTCTTAAAAGACTAATCTCTCATTCAGGAATCTTAGCTTTATTTTCAAGAGGATATATGTGAGCTGAATTCATCTGTCTCATAGGATTAGGAGGCGGTGATAAGGCTTGAGAGCCCTCACTTACCCCTTCCGGAGCAGGGCAGATCAGAGCTCCCCTGGCACTTCTTGATGCTCTCCTCAGTTGACAGTGGGCAAGAACGTGGGTGCTCACACTTCTTCCCATACCAGCCTACTTTGCAGTCACATCGTCCACAGTTACATTGTCCGTGACCTTCACAATGAGAGCAGTAAAAAAAAAATAATAAAAATTATATATTGAAGTCAGAATTCATTTCAACAGGGAATGTTATAAATGAGTCTGGATCTTAGTTAACAATATTAAACCTTAAAACAAAAGTACAATTTTCTCAAGATCCTAAATACCTAATTTATATTAATTGCTCATAAGGGGTAAAGACAAGCAACAACTCCAGATATGATTAACAGGCTTATAGGGCTATAAATGTGAATTTATCAAAATTCATATGCATGTGATTATATTGGCCAGCTACAGCCTAAATAGACTATTTGATGGATTTGACAATTAATTCATGTGGAAGAAAGCATTGGAAATGGAAAATAATTTGTGAAACAGGGTCTTATCTTTTGGAATCACCTACACATTTTTTTCATTACATTTATTTATTTATTTATTTATTTATTTATTTGTATTTTTATTGATTTCAGAGAGGAAGGGAAGGTAAGAGAGAGATAGAAACATAAATGATGAGAGAGAATCATTGATTGGCTGCCACCTGCATGCCCCACAATGGGAATCAAGTCTGCAACCGGGCATGTGCCCCGACCAGGAATCAAACTGTGACCTCCTGGTTCATAGGTCAACCCTCAACCACTAAGCCATGCTGGCTGGGCTCATTTCTTTTTCTTTTTCTTTTTTTTTTTTAACCACACATTATATGTTTATCCTTAAAACCAGTAATCTGTGTGGAGTTCTCATTCTTGAAGACCAAATTACACACACAAATGAGGTCAGGTAAGATACTGATTTCTTTTTATATGGACACAAAGCTCCTAAAAAACTATGATAAATAGTGATATGGGATAGAAAATAAAATGCCAATCAATTTATCAATCAAATAATTGTATTCAAATCCTGATCCTGCTACCTACAGAGTAGGGCTGGTTAAATGACCTCATTGAAGTTTAGTTTCTTCATCTTTAAATGGAATAATAATGCATTATATACCCGTATTTATCAAGAAATATATATATTTTAAAATGCTACATAAAAGTGAGTTATTATTTTTATTTATTTGAGTCCACATGTGTAACCAAGTAGGAATAGGAAGAAAAGCAGGATAACTTCAGTTGAGCTTTTCCTAACTCCTATGGAACATCCAGGTACTCATTACAGATGCAGAATAATGTGGATTTCTACAATAGCTGCAAAAGATGCATGAAGAATTTTAAAGGAAGTGAAATTACACTTTTGTAAAGTTAATCAAGTATTATGTTAATGGATGAAAATCCATGCTATTTTTCCATTGGCAATCCATATTATTAATTTCAATTAAAAAAATATTTATTGAGTATCTACCATGTAACCGAGTCTAAAAATAAATTGCTGTTATCATTAATACTCTGCCTTAGATCTCATACTTTTAAAGGAAAAGAAAATTGTGCTTACTAGTAAATATAGCTTGTCCCAAAAAAATACACACACTTTGAATAATTATTAATGCAATGTTCCTTTTCAGATTTAATCCATTGGAATTAATACTTATTCAAAGTTTGTATATGTTTTTGGGGAAACCCTGTATGTATAACATGTGAATAGGATCATTTAGGCCTTCAAATATGAGAATTTTTATTTTACTAGTTTAATTTATTAGCAATTAGATTTCAGTGGTTGTAGATCTTGTGGCTTTTTGCCATTTATCCCAGCTTAAGAAATTTCTACTCTTCTCCTCATCGCTCATGCTATTTCAAGCCAAATTTGCAAAGAGAGCTGTATTGCAAATGCATAGGTAAATAACAATTTTTAAAACAAAATCTTTCACATTTAAAGTACATTCTATTCTTCCATCTTATAAGAGTTAATTACTTTGAAATTCTTGAAGACAAGATGTTTCATCTCAAGAACATTTATATCTGCTATGAGGATGCCAGGCAAAGTACAGAACATGCTGTCATATGTGGAAAATCGGTTGACACTTTAACAAAATAAAAATTTGAACAAGAAAGTTAGATTTAAAGGGAGGGGGGGAAATTTACTCTTGAAAGTGTAAAATAGCTGCAAAAGTTAGAACAAAATATCCAATAGGTTCCAGATGCCAAGAAATCCCTATCCAGGAGAATGCCACCTGCTGCTGCAGTTATTTGGAATCCTCGGGCAGCAACCTTTGTCAAGGGTGAAGGTCCCAATAACTAGGCACCTAAAATGAAACAGGAGCCTGTGCTGGGGACACCTGTGACTGAAGGGAGAACAGTCTCAAGTTCTATAGTTGGGACACAGATTTAAGAGTAGTAATTATTGTCCATCTGAGGATCATTCACATGGAAATATTAAAAAAATTGTGGTTGAATAAAACAAATTTCTAAAGACAGTCAAAAGTTATTAGTAAGGTATTTTTAAAGTTAAAATATGGCCCAATTAATATCAAAATAAGTCAGATTAATTGTGGATGCATTAACAAATTATGGAAAAAATGCAGGTGCTCTAGAAAAAAAATAGCTCTGTTATTATTGTAGCTTCATTTTTTTAATCCTTTGCTATTTCTGTGCTCTGCTATAAACACTAGAGGAAGATGTAGCCTATGATATATTGTACTTCTATTTCCTGTACATTTAATGCAGTATCATGGACCATCTTAAGGATGAATCCTATGAATTTATGCTTCACCTCCAGTCATAAAGGAAACTGCAATTTTTCTTCTAGAGTTCCTAGTTTCCCAATTTATAATAAAAGGTATGATAGAGAGAGAGAGAGAAGGAATCATTTTATAAGGATAAAATAAAGAAGATGAACATGCATGGTTTTGACACACAAAGAAAAGTTTAGAAAAGATAAGATTTATTTAGCATCAATATCTTTTAGACTACCATAGCATAGACTATCAGAGTATTTTATACACAAATAGAAGAAAGGGCATAAAAGAAATTAGACAACTTGTGTCCCTGGTCTAAATGTGTCACTAATTCATCTTTTGGGGCCTCATCTCACTGGACTCTAAGAGTGAGAGAGCTAAAAGATGTTGGCTTCACCATTCTGATCAAATATGTAATGTTTCCATGCTAGTTTATCAAGCTTATAGAGTATGCCTGCAGGAGTTAATGTCATTGCTTCTAACAAATATTCCTTTAAACTCTGCAAGCAAAGGATAACAAAACAGAAGTAAAAGATACAGATTGTTGTTATTTATTCCTGATATCAAATATGAGAACTGTTTTCAAAAGATCTGTAAGCATACATTAAAACACACACAACAACAACAATAACAACAACAACAATGGGAGAACAGCATGGTTTTAGTGTTAATATGTACGGTTTAGGGGATCACAGCCCAATCGGTACCATATGGTTAAGGAGTTGGCAGCAAGAACAGACATCCAGTGTCATCATGGTTAGGTTGGGCGGGTAGAACTTAAAAAGGCTCTCAAGCCATGATATTAGAGACTTTTGACACCAAAACTGATTTTTTTCTTTGCAATTATTTTATTTTTTAAACTGAGAATCATTTTCATTAATGTTTTATTTAAATATATTTTATTGATTTTTACAGAGAGGAAGGGAGAGATACAGAGAGCTAGAAACATCCATGAGAGAGAAACATTGACCAGCTGTCTCCTGCACACCTCCTGCTGGGGATGTGCCTGCAACCAATGTACATGCCCTTGACCGGAATCCAACCTGGGACCTTTCAGTCCACAGACCAACGCTCTATCTACTGAGCCAAACCAGTTTCGGTTCTTTGCAATTATTGTTCTCCCTTGATTTAAGCTATCTAAACTCAGAAATACAGGACAAAAGCAGTTTCATTCACTCCACACAAACATTCTTCTGTATAGTGGACATTCCTTTCTTTTAAAATGCTCATGTGCTAGAATCTGATGTTGACAAGTAGTTTCTTACAAAGTAATATGAAGACAATCAATAGAGAAAGGTTTTGGGGAATAAATTAGATCTAATCAGTACTTGTTATTTTTTTTAAAAAAATCATTCAATATATTGATTTTCCTTCAAGATAATGAAAACTGAACATACTTAATCATTTCCTTCAGTTTCTTTCCTTAGTGTTTTCATAATACATAATGATAAAATTTCCCACATGATATAGGTTTTATCAAAAGATCCCATTTTACAAACTACTGTAAGCCAGGACTAATCTTATATTTTCATTATTTTTGGTAGGCAACACAAGCTGAAAGATGGAGTTTGGGTCACACTGCAGCATAATTTTTCAATTATTGAAATTTAAGAAAGAGACCAGGGCAGTAAGCAATCATCAGGAATAGAAGCATATTTCAGAATCAGAAAGTAAATTCAATGGAGCAGCTCATAGAACTGAAATAACAGTTGATATACTTTAGGATTCCTGGTCATGTCCTAGCCATTTTAGTCACACCCAAGTTTTGTCAATAATATCTTTGAAGTGTTTATGTGAGTGTAGTGCATGATGTTTGTGTATGACTAACTACCCATGAACACATGCACCGTGTGAATGGTGAAAAATGTATAACAATAAAAAAAATTAAATAAAGCAAGTTTATTTGAAAGCAGGGACTGGATTTTAAAATATTGGTACTTCCATACCCATGATGGAGTAGGTATAAAATATCTACATGTAAGTGTATTACTGAATAGATGGACAGTGAGAAAGCATTAATAAAATAAGAATGTCAATTAAAAGAGCCAATCCATCAGATTTCTTTTGGATTTTAACAAGACCAACACTCTCTGGATGGCAAGAACAAAAGCTAAAAATAAAGCTGCATCTCATCTGAACCGTATTACACTCCAGCCTTGCATAAATCTAAAGAGAATATTGAAATAGTTGGATTACTTTCGTCTCATAAAACTAAACTATTAACATACTCAGTAATCAACTGCATGGCACCCTTCCTATGGTGTGACTTAGGCAATTAGAAAGATTGTAAAGACTAACAATTCACTAAGCATAATATATAAAATTACACAGATTTATTAAGAATAAAGAAATACTGCTGAGATCTTGGTGCCTGCCCAAGATCATAATTATGTTCAGAGAAGCTTAGTTTTATAAGAGTTTTGAGCACCAAGCACAGTTCTTCCTTATTAAAATAAATCGAAGACTTTTATTTTCATCACTTGGAGAGTAAATTACATGAGTATTTGGGTCATATGTTTTCAAATGGCACTTAAAGGCAGTGGGAACTTTTTCAAGTTACTTAATTTCTTTGAACCTGTTTCCTCTTCTGTTAAAATATAATCATGTCTCCCTCTCTGAGTTAGTGTGAGTCCAAAATGAAATGAGATATGTGAACAAACTTGGTAAGCATCTCTCATAGGATCTCTGTTAATGGTTCTTCTTTCCTAAATGTGTCTACTTAACTGTGAGAGGCAGGCTGTGGAAAACTGGACACATTCAGTCTACTTAAATAATGACAAATAAAATCACTATTACAGATTTCACGTCTCATTGACTTATTTCTTATTATTCAAACTGCAGCCTATTACCTTAACTCTTTTGCCCATTTCTAACTGTCTCTACCCACACCATGGAAACCACATAAAAATAGTTAATTATTCTCTTCCAACTGCCTCCCATGAAAAACTTCAATTGCTTGACATTCTTGTCTGAAATCTCATAGGATGTGGAAGAATGAAAAATGAGAGGAAAAGAAAAATAAGATAGAAGGAAGAAGGGAGAGAGTAAATGAAGTGCAAAGTTTCAGATTCCAAGTATTCCTTGTTAATGGCTTTTATCTGTCCAACATATAATATTAATTCTAAGCTTAATAACATGCAACATGAATTATGACCTTATAAAAGGAAGAAGATATGCCAATACCCATCTTCACCTCATGGTCCCTCACAATTGAGATAGACCAATTCACAAGAGCCTTAATTATCACTATAATGTATTTATTTTGAAATTTTCTACCTCACTCCCAAATCAGGATCATAAATTTAACAAGCAAGAGTGCACCCTATGGGCAATATAGTATATCAGAAAGCCACACACATTTTATATACATAAAAATTGAGTATATCTTTTATTTTCTTATTTTAAATTGTGTAAATTAATATTTTATCTCACAATCTTAAAATGACATTCACATATATATTTTTTTATTTTATTGATTTTTTTACAGAGAGGAAGAGAGAGGATCATCGATGAGAGAGCATCGATCAGCTGCCTCTTGCACACCCCCTACTGGGGATGTGCCCACAACCAAGATATATGCCCTTGGCAGGAATCTAACCTGGGACCTTTCAGTCCATAGGCTGATGTTCTATTCACTGAGCCAAACCAGTTTCGGCTTAAAATGACATTCTTAAATGGTGTTCTCTGAGTCTCAATATAGTTTTCATTACCAACTCTGTGCTTATCACTAAATTCTCACATTCAGTCCTGATCCTTTAGACTTACATATTTAATGAGCTAAAAATAATAAATGTTAGGTTGCCATTTGTCCTTTATGACTGATACATTTGACAACTTCTTTATATATTCCCCATCTCAGTAACATTTACCCAGACAACCAGTCCTGTGACTACAGCACTCCACTGTGTAAAACCATCACAAACTCCCCCTTGCCTTTACAATAGAGTCAAGCCCTGCAATATGCTGGTGTGATAATAAAGAACATTCATATTAATGAGAGTAGAGAATCTGAAAAGAACAGCATCCCCTCAAGGGAACAGGATTCTTGAAATATTTAGGAAATCCTCCTGAACACGAGGGCTCTTCAGAAAGGGAACTTTCCATAGTAGATAGGAAGTTTACACAACAGGCTTCCCTCAACGAGACAAGAGGTCTTGTAGTTGTACATTTACACTTAGGGCAGCTCTTTTATCTCCCTTTGCTTTGAATAGACCAGTGGTGTTTCCTATCAATGTGTACCAACCAAGAAGTCAAGCTTAAAGAGATGTCTGTGCATATGTCTCTGTCTTATGGATTATCAAACCTAACCGAGCTGCACACCCATAAACCATTTTTGCTAAATGAGACTTTCCCAGACAGATCTGACTATTTTTTTCCCCATCAAACTTTTAAAAAGTCTGGCAGGTCATATATTTCCCTTTTCATTTAGATCTCAAGCTCCATAAAATCAAGAATCATGTTTAGCTCCTTCATTGCTGGGCCCGGAAGCCCAGATGCAGTCCAGACCCTGGCAAATACTGTTTCCTCCATAAATATTTATGAAACATTTTTTGAACCCACTAATGACATTCAATTTAAACTAATTTGCAGAATAATTTTGATATGTAAATTATATTGAATACTTAATGCATTAAAATATCCATGAGAGTTGCATTACCTTAAGTTTTGCAATATATTAATATAGCTTGTCATCATGGTACCTATTCTGTTAATTGTCATAAGTTCTGCCAGTTTTGAATTCTCTGAGTTAAGCAATAGATATCTACAGCTAATGGTTTTTCTTGGTGGAAAATTAGACTAATTTTAAGGGAGTGATGCATTTTCCTCTCCAGTCTTTGCTCAAAGTGTGAATTATCCTAAAGGTTTCCAAATGACTAATAGAAGTGCTGTGGGTATCCAATGTTTCAGAATGCACATTCATAGTTTCTGTGAGAATCAGAATGAATCTTCAAATAGGAAAAAGGATATTTTTTAAATTTCAAATAGGAATTTGGAGAGTAGTTACCTGAACAGAAGTCATCAGAATATCTGTCATAGACAGCTCTACAATCCCGTTCATCACACTCACAGGTGTCTCCGTGAATATCTCCCCAGTCTCCAGTTGGGTCAACATCGTGGCAAGAACATTCACCACACACACAAGTCCCTAAGTGGGAAAAATATGTTTATGTGAGTCTATTGAGAAAAATTCATGAAAAGAAAAGGCTTATATATTACTTTAAAAAAATCTGTGACTTACTTTATATTTAAAAAATACATGTATTCAGAAAAAAATTATTCCATCAAAAATTGATAGCAGAGATTTTTTTAATAAACAAAAGTTACTATCTATGTCAATATTTATATGGGATTATGGAATATGTCGTTAGCTCTGTGTTGGTTTGTCTCAAAGATAGTATCCCCCAAATTAAAACAGCACAGGATGAAATCCTTGTCCTCAAGAAGCTTCCAATATACTTAACAAAAAGAAAGCTAATGAAAGAAAAAATAAGCAAACAATAAACATCTGACTACTAGCATTTTGTAAACTAGGACATAAATACTGTGAGAAATACTGTAAGAGTTTTGGGAAGAAGAAATCCATGTAGGCTGAAGTAATTAAGGTAGATGGTCTGGATATGTAAAGAGATTGGGACATATCCTAGGATTGATTGGAAGTAGGACAAATCAAGAAAAGTCAAGAAAGCAAGAATGAGCAAAGAAGGGCAGGGATGGGTGTGGGGATCCTAAGGAATCCCTGGAGCAGAAAGTGCATGGAAGGAAACCCAAGAATGAATTTTGCTGGCTAGGATGAACTCAAGTTATAGAGTATGTTGGATTAGATGGAGAAATATAACTGTGGTCACATGTAGATTTACAAAGAGGAAGTGCCAATTATATTTACTTTGTATGAGTTATCAGTAATCATCTTTAGAACAACCAGCTAATCATCATTTGAGGGAAAGATAAAGTTAAATTTCTTTCTTACCTCTCACATCAGAGCAAATTCTAGTTAGATTGAAGACTTAAAAATATAAACTAAAACACAAATTATAAAATAAATATTTTATTCAAAATCCCAAAAGCAAATTACTATAAAGAAAAATAGAGCCGAAACCGGTTTGGCTCAGTGGTAGAGCATCAGTCTTTGCACTGAGGGGTGCCAGGTTGCAGACACATCCCCAGTAGGGGGTGTGCAGGAGGCAGCTGGTCAATGTTTCTTTCTCATCGATGTTTCTAGCTATCTCTCTCCCTTCCTCTCTGTAAAAAATCAATAAAATATATTTTTAAAAGAAAAATAGAAATAGATCTATATAAAAATGTAAAAAGTTGGTTGCAAACAAAACACCAAAAACAAAGAGTTGGAATAAATAATCATATGTGTACAAAAGACAAAGAATTACTTTCACAAACAAAAACAATTCTTAGAAACCAATATGTAAAGGACAAATATGCCTAAAGTGAAATAGACAAAGGCAAAAAGAACACCAATCAGAGAATTTGTAGAGATGTAATGAGGATAGATAAACATACAAATGTTTACCACTCAACCTATGATTACTAAGGGTTGGGGAATCTGTAAAACAATAGTGAGTTAGAATTATTTTGGATGTCAGATTGGTAGATGTAAAAAGATGGCTAGGACAAAGATTGGTGAGGTATGAAGTACAAAATAGTACAACTCTGGATGTACCTTTATTTTTTTCCCCACAATATGTACTCTGAAAATGTGGGAATTTTAGCATAAGAGTCTACTTCAAATGATATATCCCCAGGAAAGGAAAAGTACACAAAAATACTTGTTGAGGAATATTAAACATGATGATATTTATGTTATTAAAAAACAACTAATGACAGAAATACCGTGTTTCCCCGAAAATAAGACATCCTCTGAAAATAAGACCTAGCGCATAGAAAGATAAGACATCCCCTGAAAATAAGATCTAGCGCAACTTTGGGAGAAAAAATTAATATAAGACACTGTCTTATTTTCAGGGAAACAGTGTATCAATCAAAAAGGAGTTAGTACAATGTGTAGCTTGGATTAGCAAGCAGCCATTAAAGGTAAAAATTAGGTTTTTCCTCTGTGAGCATGGAAAGATACCCAAAATACATGATTAAATGGGAAAAAAAATTACAGCCCAGCCGATGTGATTCAGTGGTAAAGTGCCAACCCATGCACCAGGAGGATAGGGTTCAATTTTTAGTGCACATGGCTGGGTTGCATGCTCAGATCCCCAACAGAAGGCAATAGATCAATAATTCTCTCTATCGTTGATGTTTCCCTTCCTCTCTCTGAAGTCAATGAAAATATATTTTAAAAAAATTAAAAAATACTGTGTTTTAATTTTTGTAATAATGTAAAGAAAATACATGACAGGGAGCACACAAATGATGAATTCAAAAAAATAAATAAATAAAAACAGACCAAAATATTATGTACCAAAATGTAAAAGGAGATTATATCTGTATATTAAGATATGGATCATTTTCTTCTTTACTATCTGCATTTCTAAAGATGAATATGGATTGCTTTCACAATAAATTAAATGATGTGTGATTAAACAAAAGTGGACAATAAAGGACATTTATTCTATCACCGATGAGCTGTCTTCACAACATTGGGTTTTTGGTCCTTAAAGATGGGCTGAAAAGGAAGATGAGGTAGACATGTGCAGGATTAACGTCTCTCTCCTACCAGGGAGCAATGATAAGGAGAGACCTAGGGTAGACATAAGTGGTACCTCTGGGAAAAAGAACTCATTGTAGTGCCTGTCCTGGCCTGCCTTCACACACTACTGAATCTCACCTGCTATCAGCCTCATTGAGACATGCTACTTCCTGTTCTGCCTCTGACTGATCTCCATATCAAAAAACTTTCAGCACCAGATGAGAGGGAAGGCCGGAGGGCAGGAGGTGAGATGGAGAGTAGTGTGTGTTTGTGAACAACATCTGCCTCAGAGCCCACATATCCCTGCAGAAGTACCTGATCCACAGTCCAGTCAGCTCCACTTTGCTCCTCTCTCTTCGCCACCTAAATGGTTATTTCCCACTGTAACACAGTTTAAGCTTCCTACACTGACATTCTTATAGTGACTACAGACTCTACTGAATAAAAGAACTGAAGTAGAAACGGGTCCTTATATATGAAAGGAAAACATAGTGTGAATTAGTAGGATTATACAGTCGAATCGATTCTATATAAACTGAAAAGAGAAATCTTTTAAAGGGTTTTTGTTCCAAGTTTAGGTCTTTTCCTTTCTTTTCTCTATGTTCAGATACATGGCACATTTTACTATTCTATGTCAGTCTTTAAAAGGATAAAATCGGTTGTGTGGTTAAGGTTTTCCCTAGAAGTATTATCTATGAAAATGCACCATTCACTTATAGCAACTGTTATAAATTGTAATGTAAATATCTGTGTTTTCCAATGGTCTTCGGCAACCCACAGGTTGAGAAGCGCTGCTGTAGAGCCTAAGACCATTGGAAAACACAGATATTTACATTATGATTCATTAATAGTAGCAAAATTAGAGTTATGAAGTAGCAACGAAAATAATTTTATGGTTGGAGGTCACCACAACATGAGGAACTGTATTAAAGGGTTGAAGCATTAGAAAGGTTGAGAACCTCTGAATTATAGAAATGAAAAAAATATTTTTCCAGTTTCTAGATTTTTATATTTTTCTTTATAAAAGGAAATATGACCACTTAGTCATTTCATCAGGTAGGTAAAAAAACACCTAAAGCATGACTCTCTTTATCCATCAGCCCAGCTGACGAATTTACAGTTTATATTAACAGTTAACTCAATTTAAATGATATTTTGTCAATAGTATTTTTTAAATGTATGCCTAAGGCCAGTCTAAATTTCATATTGCTTTTGGTACCATTTCCAAATACATTGTGTTCAATATAACATTTCTATTATTGTATGTAAAAGTTAAATGACTCTATGTCAATTCTGTATTTCCACCAAGACTTCAATTGACTCATCATCAAGAGGAGATTTTATTTTTTTTAATGTTCTCTGGTTAATTAGATGCTCATGCTGTAGATGGTTCTGTTAGTCAAGAGACATTTAACAGAAGTGTCTACAAGAATTGCCTTTTAGCTGCACTATGCTATTTCTGGACGGCCGCCAAAGAAATTACAGTTCCTATGTTAACTATTTGTTCAGTGAAGCTTAATGAATGACAGTAGCTTTCTAATTTTTCTGTTTTCTACTCAATAAAAGACAAAAAAAAGAGAAAATTGTTGGTATAATAGATGTTGATTTTCATCAACGTCAATGACTATCAAAGATGACTTCCTCCCACACAGAAGGAAATGCAGAGAAAAGAAGTTTTAACAATTAAGAGCTCTATTTGCCTCCCAAACCCATAGTAATGTGTATGAATGACACACCTCTGTTACTGCAGATTTTGCCATCTGGTGATGTGCATCTTCGCTTGCTCTCCCAGGGGGTGATATCACACTGGAATTCGCATTTATCTCCATGCCAACCAGCATCGCAGTAACAGTTTCCACAGTAACACTTTCCATGGCCTTTACCCAAAATGAATTATATACCGTGAGGAAAAAAATCAACTTTAAAAGCAGAATTTACTTTCTACCTTTTTATGATCATTGTTGCTTTCTGAAATAATATATCTGTTTCATACTTATTGCTTATAATAATCAAATTAAGTAGCTTCTCCCCAAAATAGTATAGCTATGCCTATACTTACATAATCACACACACACACACACACACACACACACACACACACACACACACTGAGCAAGTCAAAGTGTCCTCTAACTTGTCCTAGCCAAGCAGCTGATTAAAATGAATGCAATTTAAAGAAATGATAGGAAAGACTGTGAAAGTCTTATTACATTCAAATCTCAAATGCATGCACCAGACTCAAATGCATTTAAGTATTTGCTCCAAGGGCACTTCTTGAATTGGTCATTAAAATATTTTATTTGAAATCAATGACTGAGAAACCAATGGTGTGTATTTACTTGGCTGCATATTATTAATAACTTAAACCAGAGGAAATGTTTCATGTTTTCATTCAACTGTATCCCACAATCTGTTGTGTTCCACCACATGGAAAAGAGCTTTTCAGCTAAATCAATGTTTAGAACTCATTAGATCAATGAAATATCCTAGACCCTGGATCTCACAGTCAAATTCCTACCATAATTGTGAAGGGGACACAAATGATAGGTAAATGATATGTGTCCAGATATCACCACACCCTTTCAAACTGTTACCTTACTTGTTTGTATTTGCAACCAACAAATCTGTAATGAATCATCACGTCATCACTTCCTGTATCTGTATCTATCAATCCTTCTACAAATTCCCAAAGGTGGCAATTCTTTTATATCACAAGACTCGGAAACTTGAGGGCTACCCCAGAAAATAGCAAGACAACTGCGTACTAAAAGCTTTTCCTATGAGTCAGGATTTTAAAATCCTTCTTATGTCTTCCCTTCTTGTAGTTATGCATCCAAACATGAATGTGTGTTTCTTGGTCTTATAAATACAATAAAAACCAGGGTCACAATGTGTTTTTAGTCTATTTTTTCTGTAATATAGGAATTTATGTTTTATCAGAGTCTATGGCTAAGGCCTTTATACTTCCCTCTTTTTCCCCCATAGCCATAATCCCAGAGGATCCATGGAAAACTGACTGTGAAACTATTTTTCTTCCTAAACACTATGGTTTTCCTGGCCAATGGCAAGAACATCAGTAGAGTTTCTTGTGCAACTCTTGTCCTTCAGATGAGACTTCTTCCAAGTGGATACACATCAGAGAGACAAAGAGGAAGAACAATAAGTGAAGAGAAACTGCTCTAATGAAATACAGAGAAAGAGACCCATGCATACAATACCATGTTTTCTGTCTGAGAAAGCAGTAACTGGGAAATCCATTAAACACACACACACACACACACACACACACACACACACACACACACACCTTTTTTTAACCTAATATGATAATTTAATTTTAATTTATTCACATAAGAAAATACAAAGGCTATTAAACTATACATTTATATTTATAATTACATATTATAATTATATGTATATATTATATATTTTATTTATGAACTTAAGAATATCTCTGCATGTACACACACACAATATGACATTAAAATGCTATATCACAAGACTCAGAAACTTAAGGGCTAACCTGGAAAATAGCAAGACAACCATGTACTGAAAACTTTTCCTATGAGTCAGTTTTTTAAAAAAAAAAAACTTGATTAACTTCTTAAACCAGAATTTATTTCTTCTGTAATTTCAGGAAATTTATGTAAGCTGCTATATATGTAAGGATTACTTTGACATTAACCAATGATGATAATATCCATATTCTTCACACCAAAATCTTTGTATATTTATAAAATTTAGTATTCGATTTCAGTTTTACTAAAAAAAAATCATTGAGGTAGAGGTGAAGAAGAAAAGAAAAATCATATAAAGCTACACCTTTATGTATGTTTAAAATGTGAAATAGGACATATCTGAACAATTGAGATAAAATAAAAGCTTCAGGACAATACACATTTTGGACAATAAACATTCTTTGTTTTGGGTACACTGATGGAGCAAAAAAAATGTCATTTTGCATTGCTTCACTGATGGACTATAGAATCACCTCTCAACAAACTGGCTTCCTGTAAATGACAGGTGGAAAGATCTAATAGCCCAGTCATTGTCACCCCCAGAGGATTTACCAGAGAGCTGGAGTCTGTGGTCAGAGACTTGGCATCATGAAATTGCTTAAGCTTCAAATAAATGGAAATCTAAGGGAAAGGCTGAGAGTTAAGAATATCCTGTTGTGTTGTTGTTTCAAGTTAAATGTTTACATTTACAAAGATAAATAGACTTTGCTTTGGTGATCTGCATCACAACACTTTGGCCCCAAGCATCTTCCACTCCTTTTTTATTTTTTATTTGCAATAATTGGAACTGAAACAGAAGGAGGACAAATACATCATATTTGTAGGTGTATTTATCTAATTGTTCGAATTATTTTGGACTGAGCCCTTTAGCAGAATTCTCTGTGCAGTATCTAGCTTAGGTCACTGACTTGGAAAAAAAGAAGACTTTTGCATTTTTTGTTTGTTTGTTTTATTCTGCTGGATTGTCCATCAATGAAGCCAGAACAAAAGAACCAAGCAGACCTAAATAAGAATATCTGGATGACCACAGGAATTGAAGCTCTAATTTGTTTTCCTAAGCAAAGGGACACTTTGTCTCATGTTTCTGACACTTTCTCAATGGCCTCTGGTTCCTCCTGGCCCCCTTTGGCCCTGATCCTTCCAAGGAAATACTCTTCTGAAATCACCCAATTTGCAATCAGAATAGGATTCCATGGGCAGGAATCTTGTCAGAAATAAATGAAATAAGCAATTGCTTAATAATAGAAAGGTGATCTCACAATAAAATAAATTATAAACTCCAGAGAAGGGTTTACCTAAACTAAAGGGATTTTCATTGCTCTCTACTTTCCTCTCCTGTGTCAGTCATGGTTGCAGATTGAAACTCTAGGAACAGGCTTGCAGGTAGGTAAACAGAAGAGAGGGACACTATGGGTGGTGAGGAGGAGATCTCATAGAATACCACCTCCTGGGCACTGATGCAGTTCTCATTGGTGAAGGGTCAGAAGTACAGTCTTTGGCGTTACCTAATGATGTGAAATACTTATAGCAGTGATTGGCACAAGCAAGCATGCAATGACTGGTACAACAGAAAAAAATAATTTGAGTAATGGTGGTACATAATAAAGATTATGAAAAATGTTATTTGTGTGTATGTTGGGGGAGGGTGTAAATAAATAGTACACTAATAATCTTATTGGTCTCATATCTCCAATAGGATCTGATACTATTTAAAGGCCAATGACTTAGAAAGAGAATGAAATTAAAATATGCAATTGAATGATTGGGAGAAAAGAGACAATAAAAGCAAATAAGATGAGCAGAGAAGATGAAGTCCAACTTGGACCACTTCAGAACTATGTACTAGTTGGCCTGCTGACTCCAGATCTGACTCTCCTCCAGCAATAATCTGATTTTGCATTTAAAAAGTACAAGTTAGCCAGGACCGGTTTGACTCAGTGGATAGAGCATCGGCCTGCGGACTGAAAGGTCCCAGGTTCGATTCCAGTCAAGGGCATGTACCTTGGTTGTGGGCACATCCCCAGTGGAGGGTGTGCAAGAGGCAGCTGGTCAATGTTTCTCTCTCATCAATGTTTCTAACTCTCTGTCCCTCTCAATTCATCTCTGTATAAAATCAATAAAATATATTTAAAAAAATAAAAATAAAAATAAAATAAAAAGTACAAGTTACTTTGAATGCCTTAGTATAACTTTCCTTATGTAAAATGTTTTCCAAATAATGTAAGTTCAGATAAAATTCATGAAGCTGGTACAGAAATTTACATAGAGATCAAATCACAATAAAACAGGAGAAAAATCAAGTCATTTATTAATTTCTGCAGTTAATATACATACCTCCACATATTTCTTCTGTTTCATCATCTATGCATTCTCTATCATCACACTCACAAAATTTGCCATAAACTAGTCCATTTCCATCTGAATTATCACATTTACATCTGCCACAGTGACATGTACCTAAATCATTAAAACAAAGCAAAGACTATTTGTCAAATGCATATAAATTATACTTAATGAATTTTAACCTCTTTCAAAGAGAGAAAATTCAAGTTAATTTACTATTGAAATTATGTACTTTTTGTATATACTGAGATAGGTAATAATACATTCTTAAGCTGCTAGAAATTATTTTTTCTAGCACAACCATTATGATTGACCTCTAATAGTTTCATGAATTTAAATTTGACCTCCTAAGTGCAAAGCTGCTTATTAATGTCCTTCCAATCAATGCATGAATGAATACCTTCTGATTTACCTGAGTGTGAAGTGAACTAAAGCAGAAAATTCTAAGCTTTGTGAGGAAAGTAACCTTACTTATCTGCCTCACCAGTATTTACTCAATGCTCGGTACAATATTTGAGCATACTATTTGTGTAATAAATATTTGGGGAATTCATTATCAAATGCATAAATGAAAAATGTAGCTGCCCCTAATAATTTCGTATCCACAGTGTCAAAATGATATACATATTATAATGACAAGGGACAGAATGGGCTTTCTTAGGCAGAGAAGCCTAGGAGTTCATCAGAACCACAAGGCAGTTCAGGGTGATAGAGGCACTAGTATTATCTGGTCTATCATTTTTCACATACTCAGCCAAGTTTGAGGATTTAACTACAACCCCTGAGAGTGATTTCACTGACAGTAAAACAGCATTTAAATGATACTGAGAGATAGAATGTCCATTTAAGGAACTTCCTTGACAAATTGAGATTTAACCACTCACCAGACACCACCTTAGACTCTAACAGATCAACTCAATCAAATTCTTCTCTCAGATTTTTTATTTGAGCAGAACTCAATGTGATAAAGTAAATGGAGAAGTGCAAAGTGTTGCAAAAGCACATAGCACGGGGATTTAACTGATACCTGAGAGTCAAAGATAGGGTCCCTGGGAAAGTAGTTCTTATTTAAGCTGAAAACTGAAACCAAGCCAAAATAAAGCTAAAAAAATGAGAGATAATGAAGAACAACAATGTGAAAAGTGGCATAAAAAGAATTAGGCAATTAAAGGTGCAATTTAGGGAAGTCTTATCCTATCTAATAAAGAGGGAATATGCTAATTGAACCTGATGCTGTTGCAAAGATGGTGGCACCCAGAGCCAATAAGGAGGGATATGTTAATTGACTGACTTTCCCTCAAAGATGGAGGTGCCCACAACCATAAGATGGTGGTGCCCAGTCCCCTCAGCCCCACCAGGGCAGCAGGTGCATGGCAAGGCCAGGCCTAATCCAAAGTAGGCTTGGCTGCTCCCTGTGTCAGCCTCTGGAGTCCCCCAGTTCCCTCAGCCCTCTAGTCTCCCAGGGCCGGCCTGAGGCACAGGCAAGCCTCAGATGGCAGCTGCCTAACCACTCAGGGCTGCCTGAGGCTCAGGTAAGCAGGGCCAGTCCAGGCTTGCTCTGCTGGCAGAGGGAGCAGCAGAGGTGTGATGGAGTATTGCTTTCCTCTGATCACTGGGTCACCTTCTGCCCTTGAGGACTCCTGGACTGTGAGAGAGGGCAGGCTGGGCTGAGGGACTCCTCCTCCAGTGCATGAATTTTCATGCACCGGGCCTCTAGTATGTCATATTTAAAATTTTGAACTGTAATCCAAGAATAATGAGGAGCCAAACATATATTTACAACAATGGAGTCATTTGGTAATTTATGAATTTTTATCAGATTACTCTAGTTGTCATATGAAGAATAAACTGAAATGAGGTAAAAGTATATATGAGGAAATAATTATTGTATAGAAGGTAGAAGCTGACTGAGGTGACAGCAAGGACTTTAGAAAGAAACAAATACATCTTCTGTAGGAGAACAGACAAAACTTGGTGGCTGATTGGGCTTGATTTGGTGAAGAATAAGGAAGAACTAGAGATGATATTGATAATTGACTTGAGCCACTCGATACTAGAGATTCTATATGTGACCTACTTGAAAGATTTTGGATTTAGGTAGATGTCTAGGCAAATCCAGGTTTTAATCCTCACTAGCTATATTTTTTAAAAGTATACCTTTTATTGATTTTTAGAGAGAGAGAAGAATAGAAAGGGAGAAAGAGAGACATGTATGTGAGAGTGAAACATTAACCCACTGCCTCTTGCACACCCCCTACTGGGGATCAAGCCTACAACCTAGGCATGTGCCCTGCCAAAAAATCAATCCCAGCAACCGTCATACTGGCCAGGGCTAGCTATACCTTTTTGAGGTCATTACTTTAATCTTTAATTAAAAATTCCTTATATATAAATTATATCTGCCTCATAGAGCTGCTGTAAGGATCAAGTGATAAATACCACCCAGTCATCTTTCTAAAAACACTACTATGTCTAGTATATAGTAGTTTTTCAGAAAAATTTGGTTTTTCCTCTCCTCCCATTAAGATACTTGGTATATTTCTCCAGGTACACTTTACATTTATGCACCCCTATTTTCATACCCTCTGGATGATGCTGTTACTCTAGTCACTTTAAATTTGTTATTAGCTATAATACTCATTTTTATCTTGCAGTCACATATAAATGTGTTATTTTGTAGAATTTGAGCTTGTTATTTTTCTTCCTGGAGAATGCATGTATGAATTTTACTTTTATTAAACTTCATATTCTTGTGTGCTTTTTTCTGAAAATGATTTTAACTTATAAAATTTCATTTCAAATCTAATTCTATAATTCATGGTACTGCCTCATTTCAATTTTTTCTTTAATTTTCTTTTATTGTCACATTTATGCTGTCTTTCAACCATCCACATATGAATTCATTAAATTTTCTTGTTCCCTATTACATTATTGGAAAACTAAAAGAGATAATAAGATGGAAAACTATAGGTGATAATGAGGTGAATAAAATTTTAGAAGATAATAAGATGAATAAAATTAAGGCTAAGTAAATCATAGACCAGGCAGAAAGAGCTAGATGATCAATAATTTATACAGGGGTGCACAAAAGTAGGCTTATAGTTGTAATAAAAAGATAATAAATAGTAATACAAGATTAAACTTTGTTTCATATACAACTGTAAACTTACTTTAGTTAATCTTTGTGTATGTTATGTATATATGTATAAATTTATTTTATATATATATATATATATATATATATATATATATAAAACCAGATGTGGCAAAGACATTTGCAATAGATTTGTGACAAACACTTTATAGAAAGTATAAACTTAAACCCTAGTCTGGCTCTGTGAAGGAGGAAAGGCACAATAAAAGAATAAGTTCTAGAGTAGGCATTTAAGCATAGATAGAATTTCAACACGTGGAAATGAAAAGACATGATATTGAGGAAAGAACTTGAGCTAAGCATTATGAGTGGGGAATTAAAGAACAGTGAAGCAGCTGACCTGAGTATGGAGAAAAGGGTAGGTTGAAGCCAGAAAGTAGAGGATCAAGACTACAGTGAAAAATTTTAGAATTTGTCTATTGGAATTCTGGGAGTCTTTGTGGTTTTGGAAAGAGGTATAACATAGAAATGTATGAGTTATTTTCAGGAAATATGGGAGGAAACAGTCTCTTCCTCTGAATTCTACAACTTCTCACTGACATCTCCCACAGGCAGGCTCACTACCATCCACACATTGGAACCATTCCTGGCTGATGCAGGAAGCTTACAACAGCTCAAAGACTTCCTGTCTCACCTATCAAGTAGAAATCACAATTGAGGCTCCAAGATATGGCATATGGAAGACTAGGCAAAAGTGCCAGACTCTGGTGTTCATGCTGTGTCATACTGCTTCTCTCTCTCTTGGTTGCCAGTTAACTCAAGGTCTAAGACTGGTCTTCTGCTTCATGCTAGATTATTTTAGCACAGTCATATTCTGACTAATATAGCTGTCTCTCTCTAGGATAGCTTCCCACTTTTGAACATTGGCCTATACCCTTGTGCAATGGCATCACACTTCACTTCACCCTGCAGACTGTGCTTGCCTTTCTGGGCCCCTAAAGAGTCAGAAGATTCTGGAACACCATTAGTCCCCAGCTTCATTTCATCCTGCCCTTCAGTCTTATGCCCCATTCCATTTACCTCTTTTCCCCCTTCTGCTCCAAGCTACTTCCAGAAAACCACATTGTAATATGAAGTGGAAAGAAAGATTAGTAGAAAGAGCTCATACACTAATGCAGTTTGAGGGGAGTGGTCCTGAACTAGGCTGGTCAAAATAGGACTATAGGCTATAAAGAACATTGTTGGGTCAATTGAAAACACTGGAATATGAATGGCAGATTGCATAAAATAATTGTATTAATGTTAAAAAAATATATATGGATACAGATACCTGAGAAATATGTTTTGTACCTCACTAAATGTTTTTATCTATTAAAAGAATTATGTAAAATTTCTCCTTAAAGATATCTTAATGTATTACATCACATGTTTAGATTTCTTATGTTGAAACTTCTTTGGATTCCTAAGCTAAAAATCTACTTGTTGAGTATATTATTAAAAAGAAGGGGAAAAACACCCCAATACCCTAAATTTAACTTGAAAACAAAATAAATAAATCAAAAAAAAGAACAAAGAAGCAAACAAAATTCAAGTATTATTATTTAAGGAAGTTTGGAAAGCATAAAGTTTTCAAAACAAAATAAGCTATGTGGGGATGTGAGGGGTGAGTGTATGGGTACACACACATTTGGAGGGGTGAATATTATGAACTGGAAGTAGAGAAATCTTTTTTTTTTTTTTTTTACATTTGATGTTGGAGACATTGCTTTATTCTGCTTCTTAAAGTGGGAAATAATTGGGGATTCAACCCTAAACAATCCTATCTCTTGAAAATATTCTTAGAAGACAGCTACCGCCAAATCCAATCAAACCTATTTTCTTTGCCATTGATAAATCTGATTGAGAGAAAAGAAAAAAAGACTAAAAGAAGCAAGAATATCTGTAAACACAGAAAGTGACCTGGCTGCTGAGACCATTAGTCATGGCCTCTGATTGGCCCATTCACATCTTGCATTGGATATGGCTCTGATTCCTGGGAGCAGGAGCAAAACAACCTCACTGCACTTAGGCTGCACAAGAGCAATTCATTGCAAATCAAAAACTGTGCAAAAGTCTTATCTCTGATTGCAGGACTTGACCAACAAAGTGAGCTTCAGGAGGGAAGATATTCATGCATGTAGTCAAATCCTTGCTTATAACAGGAAGAGCAAAGGCTCAGACCACTGGAAGTACATAAGAATTACACAAGATTTTTTTGTTTTTTTGTTTGTAACAAAAAAATCAATAAAATATGTAAAAACAAACAAATAAACAAACAAAAAACTAATAAACATCACTAAGATAGTAGAATATAAAATGAACCTACTTAAAAATCTGTAGCCTTAAAAATATGAAAGAAAAGATTCTATTTATAATAGCTGCAACAAAATAGTAAATGTCAAGTAGCAAACAAAACAATGAGGCCATTTTAAAAGCACTCCTAAAAACACAAAAATTAAACTTAAATGAAAATGCATAAAGTACACAATTTTATATAGAATGGACTCAATGTTATAAAGATTTCAACTTCCTTTAAATTAATTTATAAAGTTAATGTGAATTTAATAAAAATATTAAAGGGATTTTTTAAAAAAAGAATTACACAAGAGTTTTAAAAATCAACAATAGTCCAGACCATACCCTGAGACAACTGAATCACTAAGACATCAACATTCTCAAGTTTAATCAGGTTGCAAAAAAGCTGATTTTGAGGCTCCAAGTGACCAAATGTTATGAGTATATGATCATAATAATACTAGAAGCCCAGCACATGAAGTCAAGTGACCCTGCCCACCTGCACATGCCTCGCTGCCCACAGACTGGCAGCCTTGCTGTGCGATCAGAACCTGTGGGCCATGGAGGAGGGACGGAGGGGTGCTCCATGCATCTCCTGGTCACCTGTCATTTGGTTGTTCCAGCCTTCCAGTGTTATGGTCACTGGCCTTTTATAATGTAGACAAAAAACACTAAAGCCTTTAGGGTTTAGTTTTGGACAACAACCTTGCTTCTTTAATACTATCAATTCAATTTATTAAATAAACATTAACAGAGTTGCATATTATATACATGCCAATGGAGATATTTTACTTGTAAGGTTTAATCTGTGTCAGGTGGTCATCTATGAAATTTAAAAGTAAGTATTGTAAAAATCAAAGACAAATTCTATTCTATTTTCATTTTAAAAATACTAATAATGAGGAATAGAAGGATTGACTGTCCCAATGTAACAGAACTAATAAAATGAGGAGGTGGGATTTGAACTTAGACAATTTGGCTCTAGGATACTTGTTTTGATCATTGAACAATGGAAAATGAGCATAATAGTTTTTTTTCTGCCCTCAGGAAAATGTTAATGTATTGATGACAAAGATTAGGTATGAGATGACCTTTCTAATGAGAAATGCTTTGGTTTATCATATTTTGCTACATCACTATTCATCATCTCTGTCCATTCCCCAATAATGGGCTCTGGATCAGATGTTATCCCAGATGGATAGGGTCAATCCTATTTTTTTTTTTCATGGTACAGTTTGGGAAGTGAATCTTCTGGAATTCAGGGCTATCAGGGTACCAACATCAAGCTGACCAACACAAATTCTTCAAGGAATGGAACTCCTGCCTCCTTGCTGTCAGGGTTCAGGGTGTAAGTGAACAGAATTTGGGGCTGTCAGAGCATGGACAACAAGCTGACCAACAGCCGATTCTGGGAGAAATGGGGCTTCCACTTCCCTGCTGTCAGGGTCCAGGTTGTGGGAATCTGGCTTCTGCCTCCCTGCTCTTAGCGTCTGGGGTGTGGGTGAATGGGATTTGGGGTTGTTAGGGCGCCAAGAGCAACCTGACCAATTCCAGGAAGAATGCGGTTCCCACCTCCCTGTTGTCAGGGTCCAGGTATCCAGCTCCCGCCTCCCTCCTGTCAGGGTCAGAGGTGCAGATGAATGGGATTTGGGACTGTCAGGGTGCTGACAGCAAGGTCTAGCTAGGTCAGTGCTCCTCATAGCTACCAGCTGGTGGTCTGGTCATTGGTCGTTCTGGTCATTATGCCATAATAGTCATTAGGCTTTTATTATATAGGATTGGCTGAAAACCATTGAAATTGAAACTGTAGTTATTTTATTTTTTAATAGGGTGTGGATTATTAATTTTAACAGCTTTTCTATAAATTTCTAAAAAATATTTTTAAATGATTTCTGTGAGAGGTAAAAATATTTTGACCAAACAGAAAAGCTTGCTGTCACTATATTCTTTAATGAGTGTCACATAGTGCATCAAAAACTTCTATTCAGTTAAAAAGGTTTGGTTTTATTTTATGGCTAACAACTCTGGACCCGTAACAGAAAATAATTAGTTTATATAAATAATTTTTCAAAGATTTATTTCACCATTCAAAATCAGGGCTGATGATGTACATCAAATGTTATGGGGTGTTGTTTCCAGTGAATTTCCTACTTGAAGGAGGCATTTGGAACAGCTGGCAAATATCAAACTTGCCAGTCTCAGCAAGATGGCATTTTTTTTCTATTGATTTATCTGAATTTCATTTCTAAAAAATAAACTCAGAAGCAGTCTCATTCAGACGTTCAATATTCCAAAATGCATAAGTACTTCAATTACAAACCCAAATTTGATTATTTCACTTAAGAATCTTCATAGAATCAAATTCTTACCTGCATTAGAGCAGATGACATCTTGAGAATTCTTGCACATTTGGTTACTTTTTTTCTTTGTCAGATCACAATTAGTTGGATACTGGCAAGCATCCCCAGACCATCCTTTGTCACATTTGCACTTTCCACAGTCACATTTACCATGGCCTAATGATTTAACAACATCCAGTTAGACTCAAATTGTTTTCCAAAAGACAAAAAAATCACACATTATTATAACTAAAAGACTTATGGGTAATGTTGGTTCAAGATTGAGCTATAATAAATTCAAACATATATATTATAGTGACTAAAGGGTAATGATATTATATACAGTATAATGGAGTATGTAAAATTTATTTAAATAACTAACTTTGAGAAATCATGCTAAAACATTAACTTATAGTGACATTAGGATAATTAATAAATCAGAAGTGTAATAAACATTAAAAAATCTAGCATAGAAAGAAAACAAAAACACCTCAGTAACTCCATATTGCAGAGACAAAAGCCCAGTAAAAATCATTTTTATGTAAGTACACTGTATAGCACATGAAACTACAAATTATGAGTAAGGAATTTTACATGAATCTCCACTGAATTAAACTTTGGCCTTCTATTAATTTGAATCTAACATAATAAAAATTGTGTAGATATATAAATATCACCTTAGGTAAGATTGATATGAAAGTTAAGTATATAGCTTGTTTCCCGATGAGGAAATTTGGTTCAAGAATCAAAAGAATAAGACCCACATTCATCTATTGCCACACAAGTTTCTCAACCTTTCATGCTCCCAAATCTACATTTTGCTGTTTTTATTGCTAGGATCATTAACTTTACTAAATCTGCTTAATGAAACCTACTAATGTTTTTGTTTGTTTGTTTTAATATATACTTTACCATTTTAACCATTTTTTTCATTTTAACCATTTTTTAAAATATATTTTATTGATTTTATACAGAGAGGAAGGAAGAGAGATAGAGAGTTAGAAACATCAATGAGAGAGAGTCATTGATCAGCTGCCTCTTGCACACCCCTTATCGGGGATGTGCCCGCAACCAAGGTACATGCCCTTGACCGGAATTGAACCTGGGATCCTTCAGTCCCCAAGCCGACGCTCTATCCATTGAGCCAAACTGGTTTTGGCTACTAATGTTTTTTATTAGCTACATATTAATTACACTGAAGAACAAAATTGTATAATTCTTGGCTCTTCACCCGAAGAATTTACAAATTCAAAATTGAGACTGACTTGTGAAGAGAATTGATGTGAGACTTTGTTAAGTTTGAACAATACAGTTTGTGACCTATAGATATAAGAAGGAAGAGACTTTCTGGACTTACTGACCTTTAAATAGGCCTTTAATGGTGAGGAGAGCTTGAATGGGTTGCAGGGATAGTATTCTTTTTTATTTTGTTTATTTTTTTATTGATTAAGGTATTACATATATGTCCTTATCGCCCCAATGCCCCCCCACACACACACCCTCCACTCATACCCTCACACCCATGGTGTCTGTGTCCACTGGTTAGGCTTATATGCTTACAAACAAGCCCTTTGGTTGATCTCTCCACCTTACTCCCACCCTCCCCTACATTCTCTCTGAGGTTTGATGATCTGATGGATGCTTCTCTGTCTGTATCTGTTTTTGTTCATCTGTTTATGTTGTTCATTATATTCCACAAATGAGTGAGATCATGTGATATTTATCTTTCTCTGACTGGCTTATATTATAATATTATTAGAGGCCTGGTGTAGGACATTTGTGCACTGGCAAGGGAGGGGTCCCTTAGCCTGGCCTGCACCCTCTCACAGTCCACCCCCTAGGGGTCCTTAGTGCTGCTGCAGAGATGGGAAAGGCTCTCACCACTGCCGCTATACTCGCCAGGCATGAGCCTGGCTTCTGACTGAGTAGTGCTCCCCCTGTGGGAGCATACTGACTATCAAGGGGCAGCTCCCATGTTCAGCGTCTTCCCACATGGTGGTCAGTGTGCTTCATAGCAGCCAGTCATTCTGCCATTCAGTCAATTTGCATATTAGGTTTTTATTATATAGGATGTCTTAATGTCTGAAATTCATAGACTACAATGGAATGGAATCATTGATCTGGTGCTAACATTTTTTTCATTGTGGCTGCCAAAATCCACTTGATGAGGTCCAGATGGTCCGTCAGATTGAATGGCTCAGAGGTCCCATTTGGGCAAGTTCAACAGAGCCTTCATCTGTGATTGGCTATGACTTTAAAAGTCCTATGTGTGTGACCCAGTCCATGTAAATGTTTCTATTCCTGTTGCATTTTTCAAATTAATTATTCTACTCCACAAACAAAATCTTGCATGCACCATAATTGTAATTCACTTCATCCAGTGCACATTACTCTTTCAAATTGATTGTATCATTTCGCATTCCTGTCTGGTCCTACATGATAATGTTAATCTCCACCAACTTGGTATCATTCACAAACATAAGTGATCTCTCCTGCCAACCATTCAGTCTATTTATAAATGTATTAAGCCACATTCTTGAAAGAGCTAAGCCTTTTTGATAAGCAAAGTATGTTGGTAACTGTAAGGACTCTTAATATTAACGTATTAGGTTAAACCACATGAAATTATCACTTTTCTAAGTTGAATATCAGCTATTTCTTATCTTCATATTCATATGTGAAAGTCTTCACATCAACAGCAATGTTAATAGAAATAATTTAGAAGAACAAGAAATATGGTAGCTATGATTTGCTAAATCTGGAATAAAAGAATACTCATTGCTCATTTTATATCGAATGGGACATCATATTTGGAGATAAATATATACATTTTTTAGAAAGAAAATTATCTTCAGACGATTTTTACTCTTTATTCACAGTTAGGAAGAGCTTTGGAAAACCTCGGGGAATAAGGTGATGACATTATTGTGGTAATCTCCATTAAAGTATCAATAACATGGTTTTTAAAAATATCACATTTTAAAAAAATATATATATATATACACACACACACACACACACACACACACACACACACACACATTGTATATTAGCTTTCTGGGGCTTCCATACAAAGTACCACAAGCTGAATGGAATAAAACAATCAAAATAACTCTTTTATATTCCAGAATCCAGAAACCCAAAAACAAGATGTTGGCAAATGGGTTCCTTGTGGAGGATCTTAGAAAGAAACTCTTCCACACCTTTCTCTACATACTGGTCTTTTCCTGCAAATTTGGTGTTCACTGGCAGCTTATCTCTAATCTCTGTTTATTTACATGCCTTTTGCCTCTGTGTCTGTGTCTTCACATTTTTCTACTTATAAGTGCAGTCATTGGATTTAGAGCCCATCTTAACTCAATCACATCTGCAAGAACCTTATTTTCAAAAGTCAGAGTCACAGGCTCCCGGTATGAGTTCAAACTATATCTTCTAGGGGTATGAGTTCAAACTATAATTGTTGCAAATAATATATCCCAATTATTTTCTTTCCTAACTTTAATTCATGTAAAAGATGGGGAAATATTTTTCTCCTATGTGTGAAAACAAACTGGCTTGGGCTGGCAGCAACTCCCTCCTGTCCTACATTGGGAGGGGCCTGAAAATTTGTACAGATACCCATTGTTAAATCCATATTTTATTCCATTGCTTTGCCGGTCCCTCCCCTCTCTTGTTCCTGCCACAATACTTGCTCCTTAACCACCAGCCAGCCTAAAGACAAGTGAACTGCCATAGACCAGGGAAGAGACACAACCAGTTCTCAAAGAAAGTTGGGAACCTTTGGGGTGAAGGGACCCAGGTCCCAGACACCTCAACATACGAGAGCAAAGGTGGCAGGTGTCCAGGGTTCCAGGTGGCCACATCCTGGCCTTGGGAATGAAAGGACCAAAAAGAGGTAGAGCAGAACCTCTAAATCATGAGCCCGAGAACAAGGCTCCATTGCACGGGCCAAAGGATGGCCCCTGACCTGTTGGTTGAATGTTCTCCAGTGTACCCAAAGATCATGGTTCAATTTCCTTTCTGGGCATGTGCCTATTTCCCAGTAGGGTGTGTAGGAAGCAGCAGATCTATGTCTGTCTCTCACATCCAGGTTTCTCTATTTCTCTCTTCTTCTTTCCCTTCTTCTCTTTCTAAAATCAATTTTTTAAAAATCTTATATAATAATCCTATATAATAAAAGGGTAATATGCAAATTGACCCAAGAATAACCACAAATGATCAGTCACTATGATGCACACTGACCACCAGGGGGCAGATGCTCAACACAGGAACTGCCCACTTGTGGTTAGTGTGCACCCACAGGGGGAGCTACACTCAGCCACGAGCTGGGCTGACTGCTGGGAGTACAGGGTCAGTAGCATCACCACCTCCATGGCAGCACTAAGGATGTCCGACTGATTGTGGGCCTAAGCTGTCAGTTGGACATCCCCCAAGAGCCCCCAGGCTTAGGCCTGCTCCCCCAGGGACATCCCCTGATGGGTCCCAAACTGCAAGAAGGTGTAGACCAGGCTGAGAGATCCTCTCCCCTACTTCAGTACATGAATTTTAGTGACCCGGACCTCTAATATATATAAAAGGATTGCCCCTGCCTAGGGCTACATGAAATCCTTACCAACACAGCATTCATCATTCCTGGCTGTCTAGACCAACAATTTTCAACATTTTTCATCCATGGCACACATAAATAAATTACTAAAATTCTGTGGCACATTGAAAATATATTTTTTGCTTCTCAGATGAAAAGGGTATAATCTTGATTCATTCACACTGGAAGGCTATTGTTGTGTTCACTGTTGTCATTTTTAAATTTTATTTAACAATCCAAAGGAAAAGAGGTCAGTGCCCCTGACTAAATAATCAAATATTGCATGTTTTAAACATTTTTGTGGCACATCAATTGAAAATCACTGGTCAAGAACATTCCAGTCTGGTTCTTCTCCAGATAAGTCAATTTCCACAAAATGTGGTCTTAAAATAAACAATCCAACATGCTTGACAATAAATCTGTTGCCCTTCAAATAAATTGCCTAAGGAATCAAAAGAAAACAAGCACACAAAACAAGAATGTCAGAGGAATGCCAAAACAGCTCGCAGCCAAAATAATGAAGATGGAAAAGCAAAAGGCTATTGTTTCCAGAGCTTTCAGTGGCGGAGGGAAGACAAACCACTATGGAAAG